GTGAGGCACCCAAACACCTTCTTTATGGTTTTTTCCCATATTCCTGAGAGGTCTACGTATTGTTTCATGAGAGACATGCAATTTCAGGGCCATTTCATGAGTGTGTTGCCTTGGGTTAGACTCAACAAGCATCTTCAGAGCATCAATATCAATTCCAACATGTTGGCCCCTGCCATCACAGTTTTCAAGGCTAAAATCACCTGAATGAAATTTGCTGAACCATTGTTGACACTTACAAATATTCGAAACATTTCCATAACCTTCTTTTGATATTCTTTGTAGCTAAAGAGGCATTGTTTCCCTTCTTGTATTCAAACAGCATTACATGCTCAATGTGTGTCTGGTAGTGTGCCATCCCTATAAGGGATTAGAGTAGACTAAACTTTACACATTATATAGGCTACACTAACGTGATGTTTAGGCAGTTCATTTAACTATTATACATGATGCATGTTTTTTTGGGGGGTGGTTGATGAAAGTGTTCCAAAATGCAACATTAACTTTTTGATGACCTGATATAAAGGTGTACAAGCCATCTTCATCCCACAGCAATTTATATTCCTTGCAATGGACATTCATAGGAAACAATATGCTGAAAGTTGCAGAGATGTCACACCTTTCTTTGGAGTTTTGTCAAGAATTTACAATAGTTTTCTGCTTCTGTTTATCACTGGGAAATACTTCGCAGAAATCTGGGGAAAGATAACATTATTAATAACTAACTTTCAAATACGAGGCAAGCAAGATCTGATCCTGTTAAGGTGTTTAAGAATAGTTATTCACACATAGAGAAGGCTCTGGATACAACTGCAGAAAACAGAGATCATTAACCACCAGAAACCAGAAATGTGGTGAAACACATCAATAGTCAAATGAATCACATAGAAACTGGAGAGATTAGACAAAATTAGTAAATCCATCCAAACACAAAACATTGAGCTGTCAGTGATGGTTGAATTAATGGAATCTCTGAAAACATTTCTGGATGATTATGCAATGAAAAGTGCAGTGCTGAGGAAATATTGTGATGCCAAATGACAGTAGAGACAATCACCCAATACCCTGCAGGATCAAGATTGCCAGATTTGCATTGAAGTTTTTCTAAAGGAAAGAGACAGATTTCATGACTAGAATTTCTAAACAATTATGGATATTCTTTCAACAGATTGTTTGCACCAATCAAAAACTTGTGTATAGCTTATCTGGCTTCCTTACCAGCTTTCAGAACATCATTTCCACATTCCTGAATTTCACTACTGTCCTGCATATTTACCTGTCAGTAATGTGCATTAACTGTTCTGGGGAACAATAATTCTTGTGCACAGAACTAATTAAGAATGAATTCAAAGCCACCACGAACAAGGATCACCTAACCAGCCTTGTCACCATATTCATGAACTGACATACTCAGAAAACTGTTGCTTTTGTCAAAATATTATTAGATACTTTGCACACAAAGGGTGCCCAGAGAAAAAAAATTAGGGGGAAGCAAGTAACTCAAGTTTGAAAAAATTATGAAATCAAAATACAAAAACCTTATGATTTTCCTATAACATTGAAGAATAAATTTACATGTCTAGCAATTTTTTTTCTTTTTGAAAATCCAGGGTGGGGTCAAGTGAACCCCTTGCCCCTTCCTGCGGGTGCCCATGTTTGCACAAGTTAAATTGAAACATTAATTAATTACTCTGTAATCTAAGGTTTTACTTAGTAGAACAAAAATTTTTAGGAAAATTAAAATAACATGATATTTAGTTTTAAGATAGACTGAGGTATTGAGATTTTCCTAACAGCGTCTAAAGGTTCTTTCTACATTAATCCAGGTATTAAACGTTGTGCATTTAAGTCACTAGATGTTTTGGTAAAATACTTTTATAGTTAAATGTTTCATGAGTGAATTGTACATTGGTTATTTAGGTTAAACAACGGAAAAGTTATTGGAATTAGGTGTCAAGGTCACTTATTCATTCAACATTGTGTTTTACATTGTTATAAAAGAACAAATGGGTTTGTATGTATTGGTTTGGTGTCTTATGTATTTGATGCACCAAATAAATTTCTTGTGCAGTAAAAACATTTACAATGAGTCATAAATATGTGCTTTAAAAAGGTGGTAATATTACAGGGAAATTATCTTTATTACATGGCCATAACTTGTTGTTTCTTTGGCTTCCTTCATGCACTCACACACATATATATATAGGAAATTTTAACTTGAAACCCAAGTTTGACCACAGTAGAATATAGTACTGCTTTACTGGGGCAATATTACTAATTTTTATGTTTGATATTTCACACAATAGCTAAATTTTATCTTGTGGATTTTAAAAGGCAGTTACAAGCACTATTACATGACCACATGCTATAATCCTGACTACTGCATTAAATATAGGGCCAACATTTTAGCACTCATAAACTATAAACTGAAAATTATTTAAAGAGTTTTGGGTGACTTGTTATTGTAAGCCTCAACAATTTTGGGCAGTGTTCACAATCTAATAAAATGTTTGAAATTTACTGTTCTATAATTTTTCTGAGTATACAAAAATCTATGCTACAATCTTTCACAGTATTGGAAGATAATATGCACGGTAATACTAAATATTTTAATATTTATTACACTTTTATACAGAGAAAGTTTCTTTCACCATCCCTTACTATACTGACTATACTCTCATGGTCAGCTACAAATTACTTCCTTAGCTACAATTATACAAGTTTTACACTATATCCATTCAAGTATCTCACTTATGACAATTTTAATACTATATTTATTATTACACATATAAATTATTGCCAACAACGGCAATAAAACTTACAAATACTAAATATTTTGCAGATCATTGAATATCATAGCCTAATTATTAGACGACTTGGTTGTAAACATTATTAGTATTTGGATAATCTTCTGAATGGTTGATTTGTTTAAATTGGTCATATGAACTGGAATATGATGAAAAATAAATGTTTTTTAAAAACTAATTCTTTGGTTAAAATATTTTTAAATTTAGAGTTTTAAATTGGTGAAGTGTATGCCTAAAGTTATGTTTTAGTTTTCATTCCTTAAACTCTTTTCGTTTTCGTTCTTGACCTGCTGGATGAGAGGTGACATCAGTGAGCCAGATAGACTTCTCTAACCTTGAACTTTTAACATTTGTTTCTTAAGCTACTACTATTACACTTAAGAAAAACATACACAAAACGATACTTGTGATTATACTACTAATTATGATAACTGTAAGGAAATACCTTCTTAGGATCATATGGAGGCTCATCATTGTTTGCTTGTTGTGATGACATTTTTCTTGAAACTAGTTTTGCATTCTTTTTTTTGTTTGGTTTTTCATGTTCCTCCCCTACACATTCATAATCAACAGGGCCATCTGGACAATTAGGAACAAATGGCACTGGCTGATTTATCATACCCATATCACTCCTACCAGGTTCTGGCCCTTTAAATCTTCCTCTTACATCTGGAGTTGCCCTAGGATACCTGAATGGCATCATATCAGGACCATGTATAGGGCCTGGTCCTTGACACATACCTGTAAAATTTTCAGGCCTTGGTGGTCGAGGACCTTCAAATTGTTGCATGTTACCAATTCTGGGTCCATAGCTCCCTGGGGGCCCTATTGGTCTTACTCCACAATCAAACTGAGAAGGTGGAAAGTCATGTCCTCTCATATTTCCCATACCTAGTATAGACCCACATGATGGATCATTCATTATTACATTTCCCACTCCACCTTTGTGTCCTGGACTTGAAAACATTCCTATTGGACCAGGAACATTAAACATTCCCATCTCATACACATGTTTTGGAACACTAAATATTGCTGATTCTGGCATGTGACTTGGCCCACGCATGGGATATAGACCACTCTGCATTAACATTCCAGACATGGGACCATACATATCTACATCTGCTTTTACAAATCCTGGTAATTTCATGTCAAAGTTACTTTCAAATGGAATTTTACTTGAAGTCACAATGTTAGATTTTAATTGAAGTTTACTTGTTTCTTCTTTTCTCTTTAGTTCAAGACTTTTAAGTTTTAGTTCATTGCGTATTTTTTCATCATCTTCACCAGGTGGTAGTGGCTCAGATGAAGATTTATCAGATAACCTTAAATGTATTTTATCAGAACTAATTTTGACAGTTTTACTAATTTTATATTCTTTAGTTTGCATTTGTCTTTCAAGAATTGATTTACCAATACGTGCCAATAATGCTGATGGTGTTGGTGGTGGAGGAAGAGGTTTAACTACTGAAGTCTTTTTCTCTTGTTTATTATTAACAGTGGCACTATTATTTTCAGAGGTTTTTTGGATGTTAGCAGTCTTAGTCATGCCATTGGCACTGCCAAGTTGAAGTCCATCACTTACTGATGGTTTTATTTTTTGTAACGGTTGACTTGAGTCAAACCCTTCATTATTTACAGATATATACTGCCCAGATCCATGATTCATCCATGCATTATTATAACCAAAACCTGTGCCTGAATACCTACTAGGCATAACTGGCCCAACATTTGTTAATGGCATACCCATACGTACACTTGGCATACATGAAGACGCACTCATACTCATTGAAACACTCATATTCATAGAAATACAAGAATTCATATTACCATTAGGCCCTTGCATTCTAGAACTAGAAGGGAAGGGCATTTGAGGATTGAGTTCCATTTTAATTCAAATATGATATATGACTATCAGCTCTATTATTCGTGTTAATACTTGAAATAGATTTACTGGATTCTTGCACCAAATTTTCAACAAGATTGTACAGGCCACAATACAAAATTCTAAGGAGTGAACCTACGAACTCGTATTAGAAGTTCGAAGTACAATACGAAACACAAATGAGAACAACTAGCGCCACTACTGAATATAATTTTTGTGTATATCTTCAAATATAACGTAAAGTGTATAATGTTATCTCGTACGTAATTTTAAAAGCATGTTATGGGACCAATTGACGAAAGACTAAAAAATTCAATAATTAGATGTTAAATTATCTGTTTAAAACGCAAGAGATAATGAAGAAGACAGTCGGAAAGCAGTAATAAAATAAAGCATATTTTTAGATCAACTTCACACAGCAATTATGGTTATAACTGAAATATTTTGTTCTAGCAGTCTTCATGTCAAACATTCTTAAAATTATGATTTAACAATATCTATACATTAAAATTATTATGTCTTACAGTTTTACATTATAATTTAACTTAGGTGTATTAAAAGAAGACTCATAACTAAGTAAAGAGTTTATTATTGTTGCTTTAAGCAATTAGATTTCCTACAGATATTCGGCGAATCACAAAGTCATGTTCATACTAAATGTGGTATTTTGTTGATGCCAAATGTATTTTTGATCTTGATATTTTTTGGTAAACATAAGTACTTAGGCAATTTATAGAAGCCATTTGGGGATAAAAATTGAAGTTGACAATAAAACCAGACTCATCAGTTACTGTGTTGATAATTCTCTAACACACAGTCTTCTGACTGTGCGATTTTGTAAACGATGGACATGTGAATATACTGCAAATTGCCTTGATAATCTTTGTTACCTACCCGAAGGAAACGGAAATTTCAGATACTTT